AGTTATTATTGTTATTATATTCGGTTGCTCACTCGTCTTGTTTGGTACAGGCAAAAACTGAATTCACTGATTAACATGGAAAAAATACATTTAATTGCATGTTGCAACATTGCATCATACCGTGTTAGGACATGGTGTAAATGTTCTTAAGACAGTGGCTAATTTGTAAACAAATCATTGTTTGAGACCTTTTCTGCAAAATTCAGAGAGCTCAGCATGCTGCATCTTAAGAAAACAAAACATCTTCACTGGTTTGACACCACACGTGTTGCAAATCCTCACAAAACACAGACAGAAAACCAATGTAGATGTTTTCTTAATTTGCTAGTGTTTTTTTTTTTTTGCATGTGCCTATTTGCATCTCTCAGTCAGCATTTTCATGTGCTTTTTATCAGTAAAGTCTTTCTAGTAAACCTCCACTACGTGCTTTGAGATGGAACAGCACTATACGCAGAGCCTAGTTCCCTGACAAGCTACACACAATCTCATTTGAAATGTAGCTTCATTTAATCGGACCATAGTAAGTCTGAAATAATCTTTCTGCGATATTGTTAGTTGTTTTTAAAACATCTAAATAAACTGTGGTCTGGGCTTTGTGTAGTAAATAAGGCACATTGATGTCACAATAAAATACCACATATATAACTTTTTTTAATCCAAACTCTCTTTATAATTTCAGTCAAGCATTTTAAATAAACCCTTCTGTGCGTTGATTCCATAGGTGTTTGTTATTTAATCATGCTGAATCAATGAATGCAGTTTAAACTCTTGTTTATAATGCAACTCTATAAGACTTTCCTGGGTTATTTCTTTGTGGGTGTTTGGAGTTTGCACATGAGAGCTCCCTCTGGCTTTTTCAGAGGAGATTTTACAGAACCGTGCTTTCAAGAAATGCTTGAAAGTCACAGCTTTGGTCAATCACTTTTTAATTAATCACCCAGCCCTACTTTTTGTGTTCTACAGAAATTATAGAGTTCCACACCATTCACATGCATCTCCCTTATTCTGAATTTTAGACTGAGTAAATGTTGATAATGAATAAATTAATTTTGGTTGAGTAATTTGTTACCCTGTGCACATTTAGCTGCTGCTTTATTCTATTAAAATGTGCTTTAGGGACTAGTGCAGCACTAACAGATGAACAGATAGGGCTGAAATGTTATATAGGCCAAATCCAGATGAGCTCCAGAGCAATTGGAGCAGCTGTGCAAAATTATGGAGCTTATGAACAATCTCAAGGGCAGCTCTCGTCATTTTCTCCACTGCCAACCTCTGCATTCTCTACACAGTCATGTTTGGCACATGTCTCATCCTCCTTGCTTCCTGAGACTGTGAGACTGCCAAAAGAATATCTGCACGGTTTTCACTACATCTGTTGTAGTGAAGAACTAAGAGCTTGCTTTTAGTGAGAGCTTTTTTGGTTTTGACTAGAATTTGCTGAGCTATTGTATATATAGTGGAAAAATTACATTCATTTACTCTCATTTTCCAACCTCCAACCCCTAATGCTGTACGAAGACACGGTGTTCCTTACATCAGCTACATGACTTCCTCCACTACTATGAATTAGCCAACATTTGTTTTAATATTTTACAAATACTGCCAAAGCAACCAGTTTAACATCTGGAAGTCATCCCCCGGGCTTGCATTCGCTGACTGCCATAATTTACTTTATAAGTAGTTCCCATGGAGCATGCTCAAGAGTGCGCTCAGCATTAAAAACCCATCCTCAAAAATGGTTTATTCCACAGAGTCGAGCAGTGCCATCTCTGCAGGAGATTAAAGGTGCTGCTGATCGTACAGTAAAGGTTATAGAGTTAGAAATTGGTGTCACGTGGAGAATAGAGTTTTCTCTCTCCCTCTTTCTTGCTCTCTCTCCTCCTCCCTCTTTCAGGACCAAAGAGGCATGTAATCAAGTCATAGCTCAAAAATGCAGCACATGTTTTCCATCAGCACATAAACTGTGGACTTGGTCGAATGCACATATTTGGATATTTAGCTGTAAAGTGAAAACACTATTTGTTGTAATAAACTGGACGTGGCATTAGTGAATACAACAAACTTTTGAACAAAATGGCCACTAACTAATGTTTAAACAAATCTAGAAAATCAGAATAGCTCACAACCTTATAATAAAATCAAATTAAAGGTAAATTGGTAGAAAGGCAGCCTTTTGTTTGGGTTAAAGAGAAATTACAGTGTTTCTCACTTTATAGTGAGAAGTAATTTGTTTGGATTGGTTTAACCACATTTATCTAAAGTTTCACATTATCCATAAGATTAGGGTTATTTAAAATGTTCCCTGTGATAGCTCTCAGATGAAAAGATGTTTGGATGTTTCACAAGGAATGCATAAAGAACAGAGAAACTTGGACTTTGGGGTATATGTTGGCATTCATCATCTGTAAAAGGACAGGATATGAGAAACTCTTATGCGTTAAATTAAAAATACTAGCAACTTAACTTGCTGCTTTACAACACATTTCACTTTTTTGTTGTTTTGTTTTTCTAGAGTAATTCTCTTCTTTTATGTTGCATAAATATTACTGTTGCGACTAAACTATTTAGAAAGGAACAGCTGCTTTTAGTTACTCACTTTAACTAGCTTGAAACCAAACCAATTTAACATCAGCCATTTTGTTTTAGTCAAGTGAGAAATAACATCCCGACAATCAGATTTCACTTACACTTTTTTCAGTAAAAGTTATTTGCAAAGTATTACAGAAAAATACTCATGCGATTATGTGTTTCTTGCTTATTCAAATAAGCAATTTAATAGTGACAAGATAATGGTACCTAACATAGATTTTAGAGAAATATTACCAAAAGACAATAGGATATAAAGTACAATGGAAAAAACAGCTATTGGTTTCTTTACTTAAAAAAAAAAAAGCAAAAAGTTGACCAAAAATAAAAGTATAAGTAAACCCATTGTAACTTGCAGCTAGGCATGGGCCGGTATAAGTTTCTGATGGTATGATAACCTTGGATAAAAATATTACAGTTTCACAGTATTGTTAATATATGCTCATTTTAAACATCTGGGTAAAAAAACAGCAACTTTTTTCCCCTTTGAAAACAATATATTTTATGTTTGAGGAACATTTAGAATATTTTGGAGCAGTAAACATGTTAGGCTGAATAATTCAAATGAATCATCAACTTCTGCTGACTTCAGAAACACTGCTTTCTTTACAATTTAAAATTACATCTTTTGAGATATGTTCTGCTGGAGATGTTGTCCTGAAAAACAGTATAGCAGAAAATGTTGGCGGTTTTAAAACCTTGACTTTTCCAAACCACAGTATATCTTGAAAATGGTTATCATCCCATGCCTACTTGCAACTGTTGATTTTTTTATAATTATACACATACTTGTAGTTCATTTACTTAATTTTTTATTAACTCTTTAACTGCCCCACTGAAAAAAAAATTGGATTGCATTTCTTAATTCCTAATGTCGCTAATTACCACACTCAATGGATTTTTTTTTTCAACAGATCCCAAGTTTTTTATATATCAGCCATTTGGTAGAGGTTGATATTTCAGCTTACCAGAATTAATACATCTACTATGAAAAAATCAGAAAATATGAAGTGTAAGAATAATTTATTTTTTTTAAATAATCAAAAAAAATTTTAATACTAAATCATTTTTATTTTTTGATATATGCCATAAAATCATTTAACATGTTTTCTTGTTTTCTTTCTTTCTTTTTTTTTTTTTTTTTTTTAACAATAAAACCAAAATCAGGTATAGTAGTGCAACAGGATTGTTTGATTTTCATGAACACAAAAAGTGCTGTGTGTCTACACCATTATTTAAAAAGTAATTTTTTTAAATGGCTTTAAAAGTCATTAATTAAAACAGTCAAAACATGGTCAACCATTTGGTAGGGCAGGCAGTCAACGGGTTAAGGCATTGGGTTTACATACTTTAAAAAAACAAAAAAAAAACAAAGTCAACTCTCTTTAAAAACAACAGGTTTACTCACTTTTTAAGCAAAGTCAACAAATCACTTCAAAAGCAATGTGGTGTACTCGCTTTTTTATTTTAAAGTAAAGTCATCTAATCACTTTTTTATAATGTAATTTTAATCTGAAGCACACAACTACTAAACCCAAGACCCTATTATCAGGGAATATGATTATAGTGATAATTTACCACAAGGTGGCGTACTATCTGTACAACTCCAACAATAGATTTTAAATGCAAGAGGCACAAGAAAAACATGTTCTTCAAATACAGATGTATCAGAATCTGTTAAACACAATCAAGAGAGCCTGAAAAAACACACTCCCCAGGAGTCGTGTCTGGTGACATCATTTAGGAAAAACTGTACGTCACATGTTTGAAATGCCCTAAACTGGGGCATGACTGAGGTAATAGCACTCAGGTGTTTTCTCAGCACTTTTTTTTCTATCCCAGCATGTTCACAGTCACTGCCTCCCTCATAATATCCCCAGACATCTGCTCTGCATTAAGATGCAAGATGTGCTCCTCCAGAGACATGTGAGCACAGTGCTAAAGTTGAAATCGATTCAGCAGATGTGAGAGGACGAAACTGATGTGGTTCGACAACAAATCCAATGGCGCGTGTTAAAGAGTAAACGGTGCCCTTTGCCCATCTGCATATGTCACAAACTTCAAAGTGACCACCGTTGGTCACATTTGTCTGTTGTGAACATATGGCACAACTAGGGGCTCTTACTGGACATAAACAACATAACGAGAGATACTTACTTGTTAAAAGTACAACTAAAACGTGTACATAATACAACATATTTTAAAGTGAAGGACCAGTTACCTTCAATTTCTAAAACAATAAATTCACATTTTAAAGCTGCTTTATATTTAAGTTTTTTTTTCAATATTAATTATGTATAAATCCCTTTAAAAATAAAAACCTTTCAATAAATATACATTTTTAAAACACAAATCAAAAGTATCAGCTTATTAGCATCAGCACAATTAGCTTCACGAATAAACACATCACTTACCACCGTCTTGGCATCTCACGGATTGTAAAAGAGTCACAGATAAAGCCAGAAACAGGACAGTCCTATAAGGCTCAAAGATCATCATGCCCATATCAAAGACATGAGCTGTTCTTGTGTGCAAATAATGGGGAAGAGGAAGGACAAAAAGAGTCCAGGTTATCGCTGCACCATGAAGACAGACTGAGGTTTTTTCCTGCTCAGAGCAGCAATCAGACCCAGCCCCACTCTCTGCTGCCTCTTTTTTAACAGCCTTGAGTAAGAAGAATGCTGCCAACCCTAATTTTCCTCCCCCTTTTGTCAGTGCTCTCTCATAAGCATCCACTCTGGCTCTGTACAATTGCATGTTCTCCTTATGATTGTTCTTCAAAAGTACTTTATTATTTTCTAATATTGTATGTGGTAGCCATGATTATTGGATATATTTTTGGTGATTTATAACTGATGATATTAGAGTTTTGTGGTTGTTGCTAAGAAGGACTGTAAACTGGCTTTATGACGTCTTAACTGCACTGACTTTACTGCTGCTCCTCATAGGCTCTTTTTTACAAGGGAACAAGAAAAGAGTTTATGTCTGGGTTGAAGATGACAGATTTAAACCATTGGTAGGGAAGGACAATGGTGAAAGCTAGCTTTAGTTTAAAAGCAAGTCATTTCCCGCTGCTCTGATTTTTGTTTCGATTATTCTTTGTCTTAGTGTTGAGTTCTATACAATAGGGTCAGCAAAATCAAAGTCCCTTTAGGGCAAGTTATTTCATTTGGCAGCCATCATTGAAACATCTCTCATGTTGAGGCATTCTGTCTTAATATGGAAACATCAAATTCTCCAAAACTGCTTGCCAACCTTACTATTGAACTTAATTTTAGGAATCACCACCAAAATAAACAACAACTGTTCCTTTAGTTTAATTTCTAAACATCCAAATCACACACAATCGGCAGAAACTCACGTCTAGTTCGAACCCCATCCCCTGGAGTATCGTCAGTCTATAGAAATGGATGATTGGCTCCTGTACTAGAAGGTGTGCTTAATTTGCCATATAGTGATAGATGATTGGCTCGTATACTTGTAGGCGGGGCTTTATTCACCATATTATATGTTACACTTTTCCCCATTCAAAACTTTACGAGTGACGTGTCTTATGTATTTTATATTCTTTGACAACACATTCCCTTTTTTGGCAGAAATATTCTAGATATCCACTGATTTGACCAGTTACACATTTTAGTAGTTCATTTAAAAATGGAAATTCTGTCATAATTTATTCACCTTTCAGTTGTTCAAAACATCGTTGAGTTTCTCTTTTCAATTGAACACAAAAGAAGATAGTTTGAGTTTATATGCTGAAATTTTCCTCTAAAATAATAATTTTTATCAGGCTCCTGTGTGTATGTTCAGTAATATCGCTTTATGGCAAACAATACGTCCTTTTCCTGGTCTTTAAAGTAAAATATCTGAACTTTAGCAAAGGAGGCTGAGATAAATGTTTATTTTCAATGGAAATTTCAGACGGCACTTAGAGGTTTTTGCATCTGAACTCTTCATATATACATATATGGGGATGTTTCGTAATTACTCATGGACACAAACATTTCTCTGAAATATCTTTATTGGGGTTTGGCTGAATGCTTCTTTTTGTCTGTAGAGATTTGGCGTTTTTATTTGATTTCAAAATCATTACATTACATTATCATTATGTTAAGGGTCAAGATGAGGTGTTCCATTTTGATTTCTGAATCAAATGAAATTGACAAGTGATTATATATACAAGCATTTTAAGGCAGATAAAGTGTGTTCAAAATTAGATAGGAAACAAAAAGGTTTATTCACCTTATTCTCCGCGGACGAGCTGGCGCAGCCATTTGAATCTTTATGGCACGAGACTTCCGGTCTCATTCACTTCCATTCATTTTTAGACATTAAAAACTGCTTGTTTCGCTGTTTGATTTTGCAAACTGATATTTCCTTGTTATATTATTCTACTTGGTCTCTATAGTCATGCAAACATTTTTTTATTAGAGCAAGTAGTTTGACCATTTTTTGGTCATTTCTCCCATAGGCGAATGAAACGGAAGTTCCAAGACAATCGCGAAAACAGGTGCACTTCAGCATTTTAGAATAAGGTCAATAAAATGTGTTAATAAATTTGTAAAAAAAAAACAGTGGCTTTGGATAGTGGCAAAATATAACGATTAAAAGGGATAGTTCACACAATATTTTATTTGCGCTTTATTTTACCTGTTCGAATTTTTTCCTCTGTTAAACAAAAAGGAAGCTATTTAAAAGAAAGCTGTAAACCTGTTACCATTTACTTCCGTAGTAGTTGAATGTGCTTTCATTTTTTCAGGAAGTCAATGGTTACAGGTTTTTAGCTTTTTAAAAAATATATCTTCTTTGGTGTTCAACAGGAAAAAAACAACCTCATAAAGGTTTGGAACCACCTGAGGAGGAGTAAATGGAGAGGAAATTTTTAATTTTTGGGTGAACTACCCATTTACAATGACAGTTAATCAGTATTTTAAGACTGCATATCTGCATATCCTTAGTCTTTTATTATGTCATTAAATGATTCTTGTTCTGAATTTGTTTGACCCAAATGACATTTTAAGGAATGTTTTGTAATCTAGGCAAAATATATATTATTAATAATATATTAATATATATTATATCATTATTCATTATTACACCTTCATAATAAAAGTAAACAGATAAAACATGACTAATTCTTATATACGGAAAAAAGAGAGGTTGTATTACACTTTTGTTTTTTTTTTTTGTTTTTTTGATATAGCTCTACAAAGTAATCAAAGACTGATTCTCTTGTTTCTACTATATTAAATGTGATCAGGGAGTGTTTGATTAAATGTCCTCACAGTGTGTCGATCAGTTATTAATAATATAAATTGTGAATGAATTGATATATTTACTGCTCTGTTCCAGAATTTGCAATGAGTGGTAAATATATTGTTCCAAGAAAGAAAGAAAACAATTTAGCTGTTTATTGTTTATTTGAGGGACGACACAGTAGTCAGTGGTTAGCACTGTTGCCTCACAGCAAGAAGGTTGCTGCTGGTTCAAGTCCCAGCATTTCTATGTGGAGTTTGCATATTCTCCTCGTGTTGGCTTCATTTTTACCCCACAGTCCAAATGCTGGTGAATTGAATAAACTAAATTGCCCATAGTGTATGTGTGCGAATGAGTGTGTATCGGTGTTTCCCAATACTGGGTTGCAATTGGACAGGCATCCGCTGTGTAAAACATATGCTGGATAAGTTGGCAGCTCATTCTGCTGTGGTGACCTCTGATTAATAAAGGAATTATGCTGAAGGAAAATGAATGAATGAATGTTTATTGGATTCATTTACATGAAATGAATACTCGTACATACTCATTTAAATGACAGCTCACTCAAAAATTTAATTTATCTCAGTTTACTCTCCTTCATATGGTTTAAAAGGTTGATTAGTTTCATCTTCTGTTGAATGCAAAAAAAGAAGACATTTTGAACCCATCAATTTTTATCATTGTTTTTTCCTACTATTGAAGTCAATGGGTACCATCAACATCATTCTTCAAAATAACTTCTTAAAAAAAACTTGAGTAGGTTTTTTTACAAGTGAATGGTGAGTAAATTATGATAGAGATTTCATTTTTTGGGTGAACTATCCCTGTTTTTAATAATATACCCTGCTCACTGATTTAGGTGTCCTGAGGAATCACACCTGTAGCTGTAACGCCTCTAGGCTACTTATACAGAGAGAAAGAGTCAAGTAAATGGTCCATGCATTTTAATCAATCAGAATCTGACTTTTTACAGACATGAGGTTGGCTGACGTGTCTTCAGAAGGCAGGGTTTTAGTACAATGTTGTCTGGGATTGTGATATGGTGGTTCAATTCTAGAGGAAGTTTGCAAAACTGCTACACTCTAAAAACAAGAGGTGCGTCCCAAATCGCATACTTATGCATTACTCTAATAATAATAACAATAATAATGGTAAAAAATAATACAACATTTTATTTAAGCGCCTTTCAAGAAACCCAGGGTCACTGTACAATATATATACACAGTTCAATAATTTTAAATTAAAACCGACAGCATAAAAATATAGAATTCTTATTTCAGGCCATTTTGTAGTGTAAATAGTATATGTAGTGTGTTCACACTGAAATATTTGATTTATTCAACCGTTAAAAAAAGTGTGGGACAAAAATGTTGGACATTTTAAGCACTTAATGGTCACATCTTTGCTCGCATAGGCGAAGGGGCGGAGTATTCAGGCACTGATGTTGGATTATTTTATTTGTTTTGTATTGTAATGTAATATGTGTGTATTTATAAAGTGCATTAATTGTGTATGGCCATACACCCAAAGCTCTTCACAAGCATGAGGGGGGTCTCTCCACACCACCACCAGTGTGCAGCATCCACTTGGATGATGTGACTGCAGCCACAAGACAAAGACGCCAATGTGCTCACCACTCACCAGCTATAGGTGGAGTGGAGAGACAGAGATAGAGCCAATTTGGTGAATGGAGATGATTAGGAGGCCATGATCGTAAGGGCCAATTGAGGGACTTTGGCCAGGACACCAGGGTTACACCCATACTATTTATGAGAAGTGACATAGGATTTTTAATGACCACAGAGAGTCAGGACCTCGGTTTAATGTCTCATCCGAAAGACGGCACCCACTGACAGTATAGTGTCCCCTTCATTTTTACTCAGCTTTTTCAGAGACTGCAGGTTGAACCCCCCTGCTGGCCTCTCTAACACCACTTCCAACAGCAACCTAGTTTTCCCATGTTGTCTCCCATCCAGGTACTGGCCAGGCTCAGCCCTGCTTAGCTTCAGTGAGTAACTGGTCTTGGGGTGCAGGGTGATATGGCTGTGGCTGATTGTGAAAGCAAGAGTACAAGAGTGATTATGCCGCCTCCTGATAGTGAATGCGGTTATATTCATGGCTAGGGTTGTCGCGACACTGGTACTGACATTTTAAAGACATCAATTTCCCGCTAACATTTGAGCACTGTTGAGCATGTTTGTAAAACAGTGCTGATTTGCCATTGTGTACACGTGCTTAACTGAAATGTCAGTGATTGGCCGTGAAGGTCATCAGTTCACTGAACTCACCACTGTTTACTGAGAGCTACCACAGATACTGGGACATGGGAGTGTT